AACTGGGATTTGAACCAGGGCATTCCAATTCCAAAGCCCAAGCTCTCAGAAGCATCACTGGGGGCACTTGTGAAATTCAAGGCCCCTTTTGTTCTCTTAGGACAAAGGACAAGGGAGAGCGAGCCTCCACTTGAGACAGTAACAAAGTGACAACAGGACTCTTCTCTATTAACAATGTCCTTGCATTTGCAAGAAAATATCCAATGCTGTCATCTCTCTTTCCTTCCATTCACTGCCAAACTTCCTGTCTAGCGTCCCAATTACTCCTTAAGCTCCGTGAAAATGGGGTCCCACTGCAGTGTCTCTCCTGCAGTCATCCTTCTTTTCAGCCCCGAGACCAAATGCAACAGCGTCTTCCCAATTCTCACTCTTCTAAATCTGTCTGTGGTGCTTCCCAGTGATTCTCACCACTTCCCAAACTGGACTCCTAGTCTTAGCTTTCATGATCCTCCACTTTCTGGGGTTGTCCTTCTCCTGCTACATGCTGTCTTCTCCTTCAGGCCCATCCTTTGAATGGCAGTCTCATCCTCAAATCACTTCCCCAAGCCCGTGGCCTCAACAAGGCTGGTAAGACACTCATTCACTCACTCATTCGTTCAGTGTTCATTTATTGGACACCTCCTGTGTACCAGGCACTGTACTATCGCAGGAAGCAAGGTAATCAAGGTGGCTATTCTTATGAAACTTATACTCTAGATAGGAGCTACAGAGACTAAGAAATAGCAATAAGTCAGTTATGGAGCCATGGGACATTTCAACAATATTAATCCAACTTGTAAACGTTTATGTGAATAATCTCAACGATCTATTAGATTCTAAAACACTGAGGGTAAGAACCGTGTTATTTCCATAAGACTAATGCTACCACCTTATATTTATTTGTATTATGGTTTGCTTGAAAGATGATCTTTCACATAGTTGGTGATTTAAAAATCCTTTGAATTATTAAATTCTAATTTTTTCCTAAGACCCTTATTTACAAATACCTCAGAGCAGTTTAATGTGTTCTTGATGTGACACAGTGACTTTGAAATCTGTCTAGCCACACATCAGCCACACAATCTGAGGCAGACTTAACCTCTCTGAACAAGAACATTATTCTTGTATTCTTGTCACGAGCAGCGCCTTAACTCTTGAACCTCATCCCTACACAAGGACACAACTCAAGACAGGTGTCTTGAGGGTCCTATGTCTCCTAACGAGAAGAGGATCTCTTCTTCTTCTCCTTCCGCCTTCTCCCCTTCCTCTTCCACCCCTTCCTCTCTTCTTCTTCTCCTTCCTCTTCTCCTTCCTCATCATCATCGTAATCGTCGTCGTCTTCTTCTTCTTTTTTTTGGTAACACTGCAAATAGAGCAAGAATGTGGCTCTGGGACCAGACAGCTTGGTTGTGTATGCTAGCTCCTTCACTTCCTAGTGTTTGACCCTTAGCAACTTATTTAACCTCTTGGTGCCTCTAATTTTTCATCCATAAAATGAAGGCCACGGTAATGCCTACTTCCCAGAACTGTCATGAAGATTAAATGAGTAAATACCTGTGAGTGCCTGTATAGTACTGGCCACTTAGTAAGTGCCACACATGTGTTTGCTCCTTTAATCTGTCCATATACATACCTATTTTCCTTTCTGAGAAAACTGGGTCACTCAATTTTATCTGTTGGACTCTTACTGACATTAAGGTTTGAATCTGGGACTTTTATATCTTGGATGCTTTAATGATTTCAGGTTATCAGACAAATAACTTTAAGAGAAGAAATACATTTTTATCTCTTTCAACCTCAGAGAATGAGCTTCTAAAAATAAATGTTGAGTTTCTCCCTACTTTAGATTATGGAAAAATGAAGATATATGTACATACACACATACACACACACACACACACACAGCACATAAAAATCCATTAATTCAAAAGCTATATTTAAAATAAATGGGTCAGGGGCACCTGGGTGGTTCAGTGGGTTAAAGCCTCTGCTTCGGCTCAGGTCACGATCCCAGGATCCTGGGATCGAGCCCCACATTGGGCTCTCTGCTTAGCAGGGAGCCTGCTTCCCTTTCTCTCTCTCTGCCTGCCTCTCTGCCTACTTGTGATCTCTGTCTGTCAAATAAATAAATAAAATCTTTTAAAAAATAAGTAAATAAAAATAAATGGGCCAGATGGCAGGTAATTAATATACACTAAAACTGTTAATGTCACACATAAAGATTAAAATATATCAACAATCAGAAGCTGGGCAGAGAATTTTTGGTGTCATTATTTGCTTCTATATAGCAGTTTGCCGTATTATTCACCCACAATGAAAAACAGAAAAAGCCTCTCGCACACATCTTCTTTTCTCAGCTTTGTGATTTGGAAGCACATAGCCCATGGTTTTTCCCCCTTCTAATCACTTTTCCTATGTTACTTGTCTAAGTCAGAGGAAGAAAATAATTTTGAAAAAGCAATAATCAGAAAAAAAAAATCTATTACAGGGAAACAAGACTGGTGATAATCCAGATCACTTAGCAGCAGAATTTCTATGCCCAGGAAAATCAACTTGCTTTGCTTCTGTTAGTACTGGAAGGTTACGTGACAGCCTAAGGCAGACTTCAGCAGCACAGCGCCCCCTTATGCAGTCAGCATCACTGCCTTGCGTGCCCCCGTGGCTGTCCTGGGGACTCTGGGCCTGCAGAGCATTTGCAGATGTTGGTTGTTCCCCAGGGCTGACTCAGTGGCCTCTGCAGCTTCTCCGTGAGGGTTTCAGGGGTCCTGCATCCTGTTCAGAGGGCACAGGGAGAATGGCTCCTGGGCTGGGAATAGCTAGCCTAGCTCCATTTGGCTCTGAGTAGCTCCTGGCAGAATTCCTGCAGACATGAGTTTGGATGGTGGTAGAGAGTCCCTCCTCCTTTTGGAGCTGGTGGCCCAAGTGGCTGGTGGGAATCTCCTGGGCAGTGAGCGGAAGCCATTCCTGGCGCTGGGCTTGCCTCCAGCAATGCCCCAAGGCACCCTGGAACCAGCGGTGCCCCCGGGGCCAGCCCTATGCCTGAGCCTTTTTTGAGGCGGAGACCCTTTTATGGGGCTTTTGCTGAGAAATGAGCTACGCTGGTGGAGAATTCAGTGCCAGGCGCTGGCGTTTTCTTGCTCCTCACATCCGCTTCTTTCAAGTCTTCTTTCATTCTGTACACACTGGCTTTATCTTCAAGGGAAAGGAGGAACAAAAGATGCCCGTTTCCTCCTCAACAATTTTTAACCCCTCTTCCCCTGAGGTTAGTCTCTGTGTGTATCTCTGCAGCAGCACAAGGCCCATCCCAGTGCTGCATAAGAGGATAGTTTCCTCTCCTGGATTCTCTCGCCTTCCCCTTCCTGGCCATTTGCTAAGACCCCGGGCGTGCCTGTCCGGCGGCCCCACTTTGCAGCCCCACCAGGACCTGCCCAGGGCTGCTCCCGCTGCTACAGCCTGCTCAGCCGCCATCGGAACCAAACCATCCTCTGTCCCTTTCCCTACACATCTTAATTTTCACTGTTGAAGACACCGTATCCTTTATACTCACCTACATTTTATAGGACATTTTGAGTGGCACTGGGTATCAGTTGGTACCGAGTTAACCCTGTGCCCGAGGCCTCAGGTGCCGAAGCAAAGCTGTGATTGATGCTGGGATTTGGGGGTGTCTCGGTAGTTGGAGTTGGGGAGCTGACCTGATGGTGCTTCTCAGCTCTCAGGTTTCCTCTTAGGGCTCAGAAGGCCTGCCCAGCATTTCCTTCTGAAGACAGACCTTTGGGATGAGCCCGGCCTCTTTCTAGAACTTTCCAAGGCAAACAAGAACTTATTGCTCCTGGCTCTGCAGCAAGGCAGAGCTAAGCAGCCAAATGGGCATTACTGGGACACAGGTGACCGAGTCGGCTTCATCCACCAACCTGAGACTAGGTGTGTTCTCGTGGTGGTGCAACCCGCTGCTTACTCAGGCCTGTGTCCAGGATGGGCGTGTCCTTCATTAAAGGTTCAGAACAAAGGTGACTCCGGATACCTCCACAGGCCACAGGAAAGTGGTGCACAGGAGCGAGGATAATGGGTAGTGCGCACTTCGAAGAAGAGCGAGGCCCCAGGGTGGGGGAGAGAGAGAGAATCCACAGAGTGAAAAAGACATAAGAGCTTATCAATCAATCCCATTCTGTGGTCTAATTTGAATTCTCATTCAAATAAACTAGTTTTTTTTTTAAATGGAAATGTGAACCTGACTTGACATGAATAATATACCAAGTTTTAAGGCATAGTAATGGTTTTGTGCTTATTATTTTTTTTAAAGAGTCCTTGTCTTTTGAAATTCATACTGAAATATTTATAAGGAAAGGTGTGATGTCTGGAATTTGCTTCACAATCATGATGCAGGGAGAAGCGGGTGCCCATGGGAGGAACCAAGGTGGACCATTGATGTGATCGTTGTCAAGGCTGCATGATGGGAAATGTGGGTGTTCGTTAATGTTCTTTGTACCTTGGCTTATTTTTAAAGTTCTCTATAATAAGAAGTTAAAAAAAAAAAAAAGAGAAAGGAAAGGATATGTTTCAGCTGACTGGTCTCAACACTGCAAGGACCACACCCAAGTATATGAGGATAACCGGAGAGGGCTGGGGGTTGCTGAAGCCATGTGACTCTTCTGGTGTCCTCTGACCCCTGACTGCGGTGATGTTTGACCCGGGGCTGTGGTTTCTAACGCTCTGCACTTCCCTTCCTGAACATTCACGAGAAGTGGTCCTGGGTTTCCATCAACCTGAAAGTCAGGTTTCTAGCTTTTCCAGGCTCAGTAGGTCCGAACCCACCCAGCTCTGCACGCTCGCTCTGAATTCCCCATTTCTGTTGATGGTTGAGTACTTCCTGTGCTGCTGTCACAGACTGGAGTCACCTTGCCGAGCCGTCTTCAACTGCCCGCTCCTCTTCTCCCTGTATATCCACGTACTCGGAAGGTTCTGTGGAGTCTTCTTTCACAGCTTCACCTCTCTCGTTTCCACTCTTACAGCTATCATCCAGTCCCAGGTGTGGATCCCGTCCTGTGTGCCTTTCCTTCCCCACAGCCATCTTCCTGCCCTTACAGCCATCCTTCCAGCTGTCTGCCTTGCCCCTGACCTTCAGAGAGTGCCATGAGATCAACAGCCTAATGTATAGTCTGAAGCCAAAAGAGGGGGAGTCATGACATAGACATTGCAAACCCCAAATTCCTTCCCTGACAATCTCAAGGGAGTCTCCCTCAAAGGAACTTGGAATGATGTTTATCCCAGGCAGCCAACAAGGGGGGCACCACACCTCCAATAGAGTCTAACATATATAACATTATTTCTTCACCAATTGTTGATAGGTCCACGACACCCCAGATCTGGATGATAAACAAGCAAAATCCAAGGTTGCAAGGATCCCATTCAAGAGGGTCAACAGACAGATGAAAACTCAAATGACAGAGAAGGAAGATCCACAGATGTCTGCTAATTTCTCCAGTATGCCCTACAGTAGAGCAATAATTCATCGGGTCTTCTAAACTGAGGACAGAAGATTTGACAAATTACTTTCAGATTTGTTCATTCATTCATATGAAGTCATACAAAAGTGTACTAAAAAATCATCCTTAGGGATACACTTAAAAATCATCTTTACTCAGGAAAAATTATATTAAATGACACTGGAACCATCCGGATAATTCAGGCTATGCGGTCACCAGGAACGGCCAGCCTCAAAATGCTTGAAGAGAAAAATGATTCCATTGAGGCCCCAAAACGCATTTATTATTAGCCTAGATTAGCAATCCCTTTTTTGAGGAGGGATTTTCTCCTTCCAAGGTCAGTCATAAGCATTTCTTGGGGCAAGGGTGGATAAATGAACTGATCAGTATTTCCCTATAATTTTCTAGTTGGTTCTGGTAAGGAAGGATCCTCTTTCCTCTTTGGAGGTAATTAAGGATGTAGTCATTCAGGATGTGAGTCTTGTGGAACCAGCCAGCCAGAAAAAATGAAGACAACATAAGAGAGATTTGAAGGACTGGAGTTCCTGGTTCCAAGCATGACTGAGGCCAGCAGACCCCTTCCTCTCTAGTTACTCGGGTTTAGAAAGCTTTCTGCTTAATTAGGTCTAGGGGTTTTCATCAATGACCACAAGAGAATCTTTGACAAACACAGATCAGTGGTAGTATGAGCAGGGCAATTGAACCATGTGAAATCAAAACAATGAAAGAAGAGAGCCACATGCTGGGTCTCCCAGAAGGCCAGTGGAATGACCCCAACTCTTTAAAAGCTAAGCTTTTTAAAGGACAGTCACTCTCCCCCTCTAGAAAATGATCGGGTTATGTCATAAAAGGAGCCAGTTTTAAAATGAGGACTCAATGATCCTATTACCTAATGTCATATCATGAGAAAAATCAAACTTTGGGACCAGAAAGAGATATCCCCGCCCCCTCCTTCACAATTTTCTCAAATTCTTAATAAAAACTGCATATCTTAGGCAGAAGTTCTCCAATGCCAGATTTTCCACTAACATTCAAATGCTGGTTCGCTCAAGCTCTTCCTCTACTCATGACATCTAGGGCAGCTGTGTCACTTGCAGGGTAATTTCCAAATGCCTCAGCTGGGCAGTCGGGACTTCCAGAATTGGGCTTGACCTTCAACTTCATTTCCCACAGCTCAACAATATAAACATCTTACACCAATGGTGCTGGTCTCTGCATGCTTTCCCACTGGTGACGCTCACTCCATTTCCATGCTCCTTAGGGCTTTGTTACGGCTGCCCCAGCAAATTCACACAGGAGGGCTTACCATCCAGGAAGGGACATGATGAGCGAAGCAGCGAGTGTGACAGATACCTGCCAGCACTCTGACAGGAGGAGCATCTACCTCAACTGTGGGAGATGAGGGGGAGTGTTCCGGAAGTTTCCCAGGGGGAGTTACTCTGGGATGTAAAGCCCCAGAGAAGTGTGTGCCCCTGTGTAGGAGCCCTGGGCCAGTGGTCTTGCTGTATATTTCACCTTCCTACTTCTGCCCCAGACAGCCAGGCCATGGGTCTGTAAGGTAGTGTCAGGTGCATGCCTGACCTGGCGAGATGAGCTTGGGGAGTGGTTACCTGTCCAAGCCCATCTCCCGTAGCAGGCGGAGCCAGCAAAGGGGCTGGAGCTACTGAAAGAAAGAAGCACCATGGTCATTCATAAAACAAACTCCGGAGGCGCAGAGGAGGTCCCAGTAAGCAGTCTGGCGGGTGGAAGGTGCCAGCGGAGGGAACCAGAAGGGGTGGTGGGAGCCACAGGTGCATTGGAGCTTCAGGAGGGCAGGGAGCTCAGAGGGCTTCTGCTGGGACCCGCTCCCCTGAGGCTGGCTCTGCAGCGGCTGCGGAGCCTGTTTTGCAACTTCAGTTCGTTTCCCAGGAATGGAAGGGAGAGGACGTTGGGGTGGCTGATGACCTCTGAGACACCCATCCCTTTTCAATTCCTTCCCGGATTCAGCACCTTGGAGGAATGGGCTCGATGATGTTCGGAAAGAGGATGCAGTGGCCAGGCCATCTGACTCAGCATGCCCTTCCTGCCCCTTCCTGTGCCTTACGTCCTGTGCCTTCCCTCTGCCCGGCAGGGCTTTCCTTCCCTCCTGTCCTCCGGATCTCTCTGGAGCATCACTACTCCCTGGGCCATCTTCCCAGACCTGGTGCAGCACCTATCTTCCCTTGTATCTTTGTGTGTCCTAATTTTGATTATTTTGCTTCGTTTATTGGATAATTTGATTATTTATCAGTAATTAGTTAACTGTTGTAGCTCATAAGCTCAGGTGGGGGGTAAACCCTGGGCCTTAGCATAGTGCCTGGTACACAGTAGGTGCTCAGGACATATTCATCGCGTGAAGGACTGATAGATGCACATCATGCACATAAGGGAAGATTAGGTAATTTACTTAAAGTCACACATCTAACAAGTGACCTGAAGGAAAAGTCAGATGAATGCTACATTACCAGTCCTTAGGCAAAACACACACAGCCCTCAACCCCCAAAGTCCCCAAACTCCACTGTGGACCCTTTCTCAAGCCTTCAGGCCCCTGCCCTTTCTTTGTAGGAGAGGGTAGAAACACTTTTGAGAAACACTTTTTATTACACTACTTGAGAAACACTTTTTATTACACTACTAACCGAAGTCCATAGTTGATTTGGATTGCCTGGATTTTTACCAACATCTTTTCATTGTTCTGGGAGCCTGCCCAGGTGCCACGAGTTTAGTCTCCATATCTCCTTGGGCTCTTCTTGGCTGTCTTGGTTTCTAAAGCTTTCCTTGTTTTGGGTACCCTTGCCAGTTTTGAGAACTACTGGTTAGAAGGTCTCGCAATTGAGATTTGCCTGATGTTTTCCTTGTAATTAGCTTAGGGTTACAGTTTTTGGGAGGAAGGCCACAGGAGTAAAGTACTATTCTCATCACATCATGTCAAGGAGACATCACCATGACTTCCTACAGTGAAAGTTGGCCTTGATAGCCTTGCTGAGGTCACGTCTGTCAGGTGTTTCTATTGTAAAGCTACTTTCCCCATTGCCACTGTCTCCCACTGTATTCTGTGTAGTGGAAGGAAGTCGGGATGTGCAGGTCACATTTTAGAAAGAGGAACTATGCTCTGTCTCCTTGAGGGCCTAGCATGTCCGTGAATGATTTGGAAGCCTTCTGTACTGGCATTTTATCCACCCACCCTCCCTGCTTTTCTTATTTATTCAATCTTTTATTTATATCGGCATAGACTCCTAGATATTTATTTGATACTTTGTTATTCAACAGCACTTTATTTTTTGGCTCAAATTATTCTAGCTTTGGACATTGGAGATCTTTTAGTTGGCTCTGGTGTCCCTTTGTTGTGTGTGCAGGTGCGTTTTCTTCCTTTCCTCTCCCTCCCTCCTTCCTCCCTTTTCTTTCTGTCTAGAGCACACCTCTACATTCTGGAACTACAAGATGCTCCAGGCTCATTGTATATATTTTTGGCTCCAGTCCTAGAATCAGCCATTTTGCCAAAGAACCCTGGTTTATTTTACTGGAGAATTATATTAGAAACCAAAATCTGGGTGCTATGTGTACTCATGGCTACCAGAATATCGATTCTAGATCCCCTCAGCTGACAGAGCAAGGAAAAATGTGTGAATATTAAGCCATGTATATATACTATATATGCATATTTAAATATTTCTATGTCACCTTCTATAACTATATTAAAAAACATGACTTCATACTATGTCTCCCAATCTAATCATAAAATGTCTGTAACCTCCCACTCAAATAGATGGCATTCTGGCTCTTACTACCCATCATCATTTACTTAAGCATTAAATTCCAGTATGCATGTAGAGAGGTTTCAGAATTAACTTGTATCACTGTGAGAAACAACTACATCAACCAGAGCACAGTGCTTATGTGCAGTTACTTTGCCTTTAGCTTTACAGACTCTAGTCATTTCAAAAATTAATTAGGTCAACATGTTTTCCCCTATCCCTCCAGTGATGGGTACCTTTATAAACATACATTAATAAAGTAGTCAGATGCTTTGCTCACATTCTACATTCCACCCTGGGATTCTGCCAACCTCCTAAATGATGGGTTAAAAAATATGCACATATTAAGTTTCATTCTTTGTGCTGAAAAGCTCTATAGGTTTTGACAAATGCATTGTAGCATGCATTCACCATTATAGTAGCAGGTAGAATAGATTACTTTGAGTACAATGTCTGACATCCTGTCATTTCTGCAGTGAATATTGAATATAAACCTCTAAAAGATAAAGATGCTCTAAAAAAATCACTACTACATTAAAAAAAAAATCTCTTAACATCCAGTCTGTTTAAAATTTTTCAATTGTCTCACAATTAAAAAAAAAAGTAACTGTTTAAATTAGGATACAGAGAAATCTCAGTATTACTCTTTGTGTTGTTCTTGACGTCCTTAGTCTCTCCTTGATTTGAGTCCAACATCTGGCTACAGTTGGGTTGTGATTTGGCTAGAACATCTACTCAAACTAGTGGATTTGTACTTATATCCCTTTTGGTGCCATTCAACTTCCTTTGGTACAACTACCTTGGCTTAATATCAATTCAGCTGGCTTACTAGGTAAATGGACTCAAACACCAACAGACTTTAGATGGTAAACTCCACAGTAGGTGGAACAATTAGAAATCTAACACTCCCTCTCATATCAGACCCAGAAAGAGGTTCCTTTCTGCACCTAACAACACTTGGGTACCTGTCATGGGAGTGAGCTTTTATAACTGAACTTTGACAGAAATAGAACTTGAGAAAGTACTGGGGAGTAGAGGGAATATATTTGGAGGCTTTCTTACTCTTCTAGATCTGATTTTAAGTATAGTATAGAGGTTCAGGTCCAGGTAATTTTGGTTTCAATCTCCTTTATGATCTCTATACTAAAAACTTCATTGCTTGGTCTTGAACCATACTTGGTAAATGCGCGATAATATTACAATACCATCCGACAACTCCTTCGTTGTGTTTTGGTCAAAGATTTCTGATGACCCTCATAAATGGGATCAGATTTGCAGCACAAAAGCCCATTGGCTGTCACCCATAAATCGGACAGAGATCTGCCATCTTGGTAAACTAATGCTTGCCTTCAGGCTCATCCAGAGCCCACCTGACCCATAAAATTCCCTTAGATTAGGTGATTCTAAGAATGAGAAAAACTGGATTTTGGTCTGAATTAAAAAACTTTCACCACTCAAAGGGAATCTGGAGCTATCTTTTCCTATGCCTTATCATTCCATTCTTTACAAAAGGCCTGAAGAGAAAAATCCCATGAACTTTGGCTCAGAGAATAGCAAGAGAGCTAGACACTGTCACTAAGGTGATGGAAAACCTCATCCCAGAGGCTCATAAAATCAGACAGGCGGTGGTAGAGGCTAGAACCCTCTAGATACCACACAGGGCTCCCAAGGTGGAACATAGGTCATCTTAGAGGAGTGTTGCACCTGTGTTCCTCGAGACCTCTTCAGAATCTTAAACATTATTAAAAAGATCTGAGAAACAAATATGGAAATCAGGAGAATAGGCAATTTAGCTAACACCTCTGTATCTGGTTCTACAAGCTCTGTAGATTGGGAATGGAACCAGTTCTCCCGGCATAATTTTGAGTAAATTGGCTCTTGGTTTAGAAATGGCCGACATGCCCTGATTAAGATCTATTTTGCTAGTATTTATCTGTGTTGTAGGAGTCAAATGTGTGACCTCCAGAGTTCAAATGCTGACGCATAGCAATTGTTCTATCAGATGAACCGAGTTTATGTGGCAACAGAAGGAATGAGAAGCTTCCTTTTATCTGACTATAGGCTAAATTCTCTGAAATGCCTTTAGATCAACCCAGATTACGGCGAAGATCTGCATTTCGCAGAATAATGTCCTCCGGGGCTTATACTGTCTGCTCTTGGCCAAAACGGGACTGAAAGAGAAGAACCTGACTGATACTTAAGAGTCAAAACCCGCTCAAATTGAGAAAGGAAAAAGCAGTCCTACCTTTAACCATGCTGGGAGGACAGACAGGTAAGACCAGCTGCAAAATAAACAGAAAACATTTTTTTCCCTCAAGACTGTCAAATGTCCTAATACCCCTCTCTTTGAGTGATTATTGATTCGGGTCAATGACACCGCCAGACCTACCTTGTTTTTTACATTTATCACTGTGGATAGCCCATTGCTCAGCCACAAATAGCACTCAAATCTCAGTTAATCCCTGCTTCTCCGAAAGCAGCCTGAGAAACAGCAATTAATCCAGAAACGCCCATTTCCTGTGCACCGTCCTCAGAATCCTGCTTCCCTCCTTTCTCTGGTTCTCCCTCACTGCAGTCAGGCCAGTGCAACCTCGTGTCCCCACACCAAGCCCACGGCTATGAGGCTGGTAGCCGCCATTACCTGAGGCAAGCGTTTGCTATCCCTGGGGTGCTCCGGGGGCAGTTTATGGGCTACCAGGGGCCAAATAAAACATTTCATGCCCGGCACCTGGGTGGCTCAGTCAGTTTAGCCTTCAGTTCAGGTCAGGATCCCAGGGTCCTGGCGGGAGTCTGCTTCTCCCTCAGCCCCTCCCCCTTTCTCTCTCTCTCACTCTCTCTCAAATAAATAAAATCTGGAAAAAAAAACAAAACACAAAACAAAACAAAACAAAACAAAAACAACCACCCCAAACCCACCAACACTTCATGCTTACACCTTCCGCTTTCTCCTTTCTATAATTTTTTTTTTTTCCTTGTTCTGGCAGCTTCTTACACATTTATAGGCGCCCACATTTCTGCTTTCCAGATTCTTCATCCCCCCCTACTTGGTTCTTGGTACATTTTTCTTTCTTGGAGTAAGCCGCTCTGGTCCTTTTCACATTTCCCCAAGTCCCCTGGACCGTTTCCTCACCCTATGATTTGGCTCTGACAACGGTCCCCTGCATTTTCCCCGCTGCTGTCATTTCTCTCCTTGACCTGCGCGTTTCATTTCAGCTGCTGGGCCGCCAGCGAGCTGCTTGCTTGTTGAAAACGTTGCTTTGGCTTTCTCCTTTCCTTAAGTGCTTTTATTCTGCAGCATTTAAAAAAACATTTCTCACCATTCCGTGCTTCCTTGAAAAGAGATCCAAATAGCCTTCCCTCGCTCTTTCATTTTACTTGGCCTTTCTCTGTACCGCATGGTCGCTGTGGGTGGTGCCGGGCCCCGCCACCTGGCCCTGGAGGTCCCATTTCCCCTGTTACCGCAAGATCCGCAGCGACGCGGCATCTTCCGACTTCACAACCTCCAGGATTTCACAACCTCCAGTCTCCCTTGCACATTCGGTTCAGGGCCCCGGGAGTGGCACCCACCGATTACAACAAAATGTAGTTTCCCAAGACTGCCCTCCCCTAGCTAACTGGGGAAAGGGTGGCCTCGCCCGGGGCGCGGGGAGCGGAAGACCGCCGCTGGGCAGCCCTCCCCGCAGCGCGGAGCCGCTCACCATCCCGGGTTGGGAGTGGGGGTGCTGCCCGCAGGTGCCCGCACTTGCCGCCTGCCACCTGCGGCGCCCCCTGCAGCCCTCACCGTCGCAGCGGCCGCAGAGTCCAGGGCGCCCACCTGACTTGCCGGCCTCTACCAGCTGACACCGCGCTCTCACCTCTGCTGCAGACTCGCCCATCTTGGACCCCTAGAACCTTGGGAGGACTGGAGGGGGAAGGGGCATACCCAATAGATGGCGTCCCAACGTGAGGCACATCCCCTTGACCGTTCTAGGTCTTTCCAGATGGCTTCCAGAAACTGGAAGCAGAAGGATCAAAGCCCTTACCGTCCCCAAGTTGTGCAAGATTTGGCTAGTGTTCTGTTGTTCGCTGGTTGGATTCTGCTCCTCCGTACCCTGACTTCACTGCGTTCCCCCTTCCTCACCCCCCCGGCCGCCTCCCGCACATCGCAAGCCTACCCAGATGGGTCTGCAGGGTCAGCTCCTCGCAGCCCGCTTCCCTTTCTCATTCTAGGCTGCAGATGCGGGCTCCGCTAGTCACATAGTGACCTGAGGCTTTGGCTTCAGAAAGCAACTTGGGGTGATTTTCAGCTGAATCCCTTTTCTAAAGACTCCTGTGAAATTCCCTTCTGGGGTCACTTTATATAGAAGAAGTGTATAGACATTATAAACTGCTTAGGAGAAAAAGGAAGGGACAATTGTCAATATAGTTACTTTTCACATTTCATAACAGATCTTTCCCCCTACAGTTTCCTTCTCCATCCATCCTCTTAAACCTCAGAGCTTCCGTGCATTTAGTGGGCTGAAGTCATTCTGAGGAAGTTAGAGGAGGGCTGTGCCCTGCTCAGTCCCTCAAAACCCAGCAACCCCCTCCAGACAGGACAGGACATGCGTGTGGCTATTGGTAATTGGCACCTCTCTTCCTCGCTGGCCAAGGGTCCTCCCTTGGGGGCGGGTGAGGTTCCTTAGCTCACTGCCTTGCGATCCTCCTGCTTTACCCAGTTGCGTCAGTGGGGCTCAGAATCAGCTTCTCTATCATGTGTATATTTTGTGAAAATATTTTGAAAAATATCCTTAATTAGCTTCACAATAGTGGGGCCTGTGTTTTGTGTTTAAACATTGGCCCCTACTTATGACACTGTTGTGCAGTTTACTGGACTTTCCTACTGGTGGGGTAAATATCTGGCACCCTGAGAGTCCCCCTACCTGGTCTCTTCCCAGCCCTTCCTCTGGGATATCATCCCCTGCCTCCTGTGTCCCCGCACAGGGTGAGGATTCCAGACCTTGAGCCTCAGCAGAGGTCACCTCCTGACTGCTGTGGGAAGTTCTCGTTGCTCCATATTTTGGATCACACTGGAGTCTACCGATGGGCCCCCCTTCCCCAAATAACCCATTGTGGTGGGGAGAACCCCCTCGTTGGTCTCTGTGAACAGGAAGTGGCCCTCTCTGTATCATATTAGAGTTTTCTTGTAGAGGCCCCATCTCTAGAATTTTCCATTCTCAGGTCATGTAAGTAGCATGGTCCCACCTACTACCCAAGTGTCAAAATGTTACTGTCCTTCTCCTCCTGTTCTGGTTTATTTCATGTTCTACTGGGGTCTCCAGCTGTCTGCTTCAACATCTCTTTTCTCAGAGACTTGAGAGTTCAACAATGAACCTCATAACCCTTACCTTTTCCTTATTAATTCTCTATTATCTCCCCTCCCCCCTTTTCTAGGCTCAAGACAAAATTGAGTCATGGTCCTCTCATTTCCTCTCAACAGTTATGTTCTCCCACTATTTCTTGCTCCTGCTCTTGTTTATTGCTTATGGTTATGAAAGTCATCTGTCCCGTTCTCCAAACACTGGCCCCAAGCTGAGATCTGTCTTCTTTATTTTCTCTTGGAAGCTTTTCCAGAAATATTCCCATCCTTTTACATATCCCTTCTTCCCCCAATTCTTCCCTTCATTCTTTCAGACAAATGAAGATAAGTCATCGTGTGTTCCTCTTCCCCTTTCTTTTGTATGCCCTTCAATCAAGCCCAACCCTGCCCACCTCCTTCTAATTTTGTCACGCTCTTGGGCAATTCGCCTGTTTGGTAACTATAAATGACTGATGTTGCTCATCTTCCCCATTTACCCTTTCTGACTTACAGCTGGACTAGGGTTCCAACGTCACATTGCACTCAAGGGTTTTGAATCACAGCTGTGTGTCTTCCACTGTCTCTAAGTGGAATTATGTAGCATGTGGTTAACCTCCAGTTCTCCTTTGACATAATTTGATTCCATACTAATCATCTCCAGGCTAGACCCCCAAACTTGGTCAGCACCTTTTATTAGGATCATGAAGCCTCTTAAAGTAAATAATAATCTCTCCTGTATCCATCCTTACCTGTAGAAATAGTATCCAAAATACAACTGACTCTTGAACAACACAGGTTTGAACTACACAGGTCTACTTATGCAGAAATTTTTCAGTAAATATATTGGAAAGAGTTTTCGAGATCTGTGGTAATTTGAAAAAAGATAACAAACGGTATAGCCTAGAAATATCAAAAAAATTAAGTATGTCATGAATGTATAAAATGTATGTAGATTCTAGACTATTTTATTATTTACTACCATCAAATATACATGAATATATTATAAAAAGTTAAAACATATCAAAATTTAGGCACATGTGAACTTACAGACTGTACATGGTGCTATTCACCTGGAGAAAAATGTAAACAAATGGAAAGATGAAGTATTAAATCATAACTGCATCAAATTACTGTAGTACTGTCATAATTTCATGGCTACCTCCTGTTGCTATCACATTGAGTTCAAATGTTGTGAGTAGCTACTTAAAAAGTCACATGATGCTAATTATCTCCATTAAGAGCTTGTCTCTCCAGCAATCGCATATCACTTTAAAAACTGATCTCACTCTTCCCACATATTTTTCGTGTTAGTATAGCAGGTTTACCTTGAATCACATCCTGAGATCTATATGACATGCCACTAGTGATGCTACAAGTGCTCTCAAGAAGCAGAGAAAAGTTGTGACATTACAAGAAAAAGTTGAATCCCTTGATATGTCCACAAATTGAGGATCGAGGTCTGTACCTGCAGTGGCCCACGCTTTTAAGATAAATGAATCCGGTGTAAGGATCATTGTAAAAAGAAAAAAAAAAAAGAACAGAAAATTCATGAAGCTATGCCGCAGATACACCAGCAGGTTGTGAAAACTTTGCACTCTTGGCAAAATACCTTTTCCTCTCATACTGAAAAGGCAGCCTTTCTGTGGGTATAGGATTGCTAAAAGAAAGGCATACCTGTGGACTCTAATAAGATTCGAGAGAAAGTGAAGTCATTATATGACAACTTAAAGCAAAAGCAAGGTGAAAGATCTCAAGCTGGAGAATTTCATGCCAGCCAAGGATGGTCTGATAATTTCAGAAAGAGGAGAGGTTTGGCTTTAAAAAGTTCAAAAACAAAAAAAGTTTGAGATAAGAGGAGAAGCAGCTTCTGCTGGCCAAGAGGCAACAGACGAGATCCCAGATGCCAATAAGAAAATCACTGAGGGGGCGCCTGGGTGGCTCAGTGGGGTAAAGCCTCTGTCTTCGGCTCAGGTCATGATCTCAGGGTCCTGGGATCGAGCCCCACATCGGGCTCTCTGCTCAGCGGGGAGCCTGCTTCCTCCTCTCTCTCTCTGCCTGCCTCTCTGCGTACTTGTGATCTCTGTCTGTCAAATAAACAAATAAAATCTTAAAAAAAAAAGAAAGAAAATCACTGAGGACCATGAAAAAATGCCCAGTATCACTAATCATCAAGGAAATGTACATTAAAACCACGATGAGATATCACCTCACACCTGTGGGAATGCCTAGTGTCAAAAAGATGAGAAATAACAAATGTCGGTGAGATATGGAGAAGGAGCCCTGGTGCACTGCTGGTGGGAATGCAGACTGGTGCAGCCGCTGTAGAAAACAGTATGGAGGGTGCTCAAAAGTTAAAAATAGAGCTACCATATGATCCAATAACTCCACTACTGGGTATTTACCCAAAGAAAATGAAAATGCTAACTCAAAAAGATACAGGCATCCTTATGTTTATTGCAGCTTCATTTACAATAGCCAAGATAATGGAAGTAAGCTAAGTGTTTACTAGATAGATGAGTGGATAAGGATTTGTGCCATATATATATATATATATATATATACACACACACACATATATATATATGTGTATATATATATATACATATATATATATATATA